ACACACGTGCTCCGTTCCCAGGACAAGACCATCATGTCAGTCAACAGATACTTTTCAGAGAGAAAGTTAATCCCTCATTAAGTTGGTAATGACATGGACCATTTCTATGAGTGGACAGAAGAGTTTAAATGGTCACTATTAGCCCCGAGGAGAGCAGCTCGTACAGCAGCACTTCACAGCACTGGTGTCAATGCTAATTGATGATTAGCTGGAGCTGCAGCGACTGGAGGTTCTCCTGTCTGACACAAATGTAAATGAAAAAACAGATTCAGCACAGTGACATACAAAAGAGGCCATTTTCAGTGCTGGAATTAGTTCATTTCACATTTTCACATTAGCTGAAAGTGTTGATTTAGCTTCATTCACCGAGAACAAGCAGGGAAAAGGAGGTTTGATCACAAAAAGAGAGCAAAATGTTTTCAGTTTTCTGAGATACCTCACAAGCCTGCTTTTCTTTTTTTAGCATGCATAGCCCACTAACTGCTTTGAACATGCTTTAGTTTGTCACTTTTCAAGTATGAACATTAGACCTGACTGAACTTCACTGCTTTGCTTCATCTGCCTGGGGAAAATCCCACAATAATTAAAAAAAGAAGAAGAAGACTTGCACAGCCTCCTAGGCCGCTAAAAAGACCTATGACTTGAAAGGACTTGGTCTCAGTTATGTGAAAAAACACAATCAACACTTTGAAAGCACATGGTTAAATGCCTTATTATCATAATGAGCATTCAAAGACCTGGAGGATTGATGACTGAGTTACTATATAAAGACTAAAAACCTATGTCTCAACTTGCCCAAGGTCTTGAAAAAAGAAACCTGCTTTGACAAAACCTGAGCATGAACGGTCCTGGTTTTTAATTGTCACTTAATATCATTCATTTTACATTGTGGCGTTTTCTTAACTATGACTGGAAAACACTGTCACAAATGCTTCACATACATTATTAGGTATAAGGACACCTGGACATGGTGTACATATAATTTTCATGTATGGGCATGTTTTTTTTTTTTTATTATTAATTATTTTGGTTCAGGACACACTGTTCATCATTGAGTGGAGTTCAGATGTTATAATGCTCCTTTTTTATTTAGCAGGACTTACAATAGCTTGTTTTGCTGTGGGGTGCATTATGGCGCTGACCAAGAGCATTACAGCAAATTCACTGAGAACCTGGTGAGCTAATAATTCTTTTTGCTTTCTGGACAACTTGTTACTCCGAGAGGGAGCATAAGCCTCTCTGCTGGTTTCTGATTATCTTGGGACAGACCTTAACAATACTGTTCAGGCTGCTCCTGTCCTTCAATAATAAACCTTAGAGCCCACCTATAATAGTGCTGCAAACATTAAGAGAGTTAAGCTTCTGTAGTAAATAGACTCTTTGTTGCCCTCACCTGACAATCGACTACAGTCATAGCAAACTTGAGAGTCAAACACACACATGTCAAAGGTCAGCTGCTGAGTGTGGAGGTATTTTATAAATGATTCAGAAGTAACATTTTTGTATGCTGTTTACCCATCGGATACATCTTTATCTGAGCTCCAGTTGCCAGTCTTACCACTTAGGATACACCATAATGTGGATGACTGGGAATCTCCACAGACATCTGACCTCCATAGTAAACTCTCCTATATTACTGAACACGTGTGAAAACAATACATCCCACAAACTGTCGGTTTTGGCAATGTGCTGGTCCTGATTTTGTTGAATTCTTGATTCATTATTTCCCTCTGCCTCTATAAAATAATGCCACAGCCAGCTTTTTAAAGATGGTAGAGAAGAAAGTGAGGGGACAAACTGACTCAGCATGCATTACCTTGCCCCTGGGGTTTTCTGACACGTTCTCGAACATCTCAAGAGGTTCAAATACTGATTTTCAAATATTACATTTGCATAGAGGCTGACTACCATATTTCAAGAATTAGAAGAAAGAGAAGGAGTGGGTGAGAAGGAAAACACACACAAACCTTTCTGAAAACTATGAATTTGCTTAAAACCAGTGTTTTATTCTGCAGCTTCAGAGCAGGTGTTTCAGTCAAATCAGGCTCCTTACTCTGCAGACAGAAGACCACACATGCCTGCCCATAGCAGAGACTGAATACTGAATGTGTACTGGAGCCAGACACACCATACCTGGGCTCTTAGTCAAGGTGAGGGCCAAGGCCCCACAGGTCCCAGTAATGACCCCTCAAGCCGACTGGATCATTCTGTAAATGGCTTCATAAACTCATTAGTGATGGATGTGCATGGACAAGAAAGGCTGAGACTACAGTTCCCGTTAAATGTGTCAGGCAGGTGACACCTTCACCTCAGCAGCAATAATGATGACAGTGTTTCTTCATGCTTTTGTTTCATTCAATCATGTGTGAACTGAGCCACAAGGTGAGAGCAGACAATGAGAGTTTCTCCTCTCATTTTTGAAGCTCTCACCTTTCTGTCATAATGACGTAATTGCTGAGATACAGGAAGATTTGTGACAGCTATGATTCTGACCTTTAAAACTCCTCAGGACAGGTTACATTTTACAGAGAAATTAAAACTCACAACTGCTGCGTTTGCTGTAAATAAGAGACGTGAAGCTTCTTTCTTTATTTCAGATATAAACAGAATTTTTCTAATGTAATTTTTCTTAACTGTAGTTGTGTTTGTACAAAAAGTTGCCTCTCGAGAAGTGACAGATGTAAAACTTATCATCTTTGGTCTTCTGGGAGATATTCCTAATTCCCAGAGGTCAAACAAATCAAAACAAGGAGTGCCACAAAATGAGCCACTATTTTGCATATAACAACCACAGATAATGAATGACTGAGTGCTCATGAGGAGTTTCGGGGCTTTGGTGAGACTCATTTGGGCAGGATGGCCCATCGAGCTATTAGAGAGCAGCTCCTCAGGACATGACTATGAAAAGAGGCTTCTCTGGCACAGTGGTCAGCGTATTCCTCGTCTGGCTCCAATACACAAGGAGAACATACTGTAGCTCTGTCCTCACAGAACACAGAAAAAGCCCAAAATCATAGTGACAAAAATGTGTTTTGTGCATTAAGACATTAGAACATGTCAGTGGAGGCAGAAGATTGGAGTCGACTTTAGCTGCAAATGAAATTAAGAGTTCCCTCTTCAACATTTCTCATGTGAAAATTAGGATTGTAAGTCATAATTATTTTCATGATTGATTTATTGTAAAATGTACAGAAAACTATGAATCACTAGGGCCTAGAGCACAAAGGCTTGTCCAACCAAACATCAACATATTCAGTTACTATAACAGGAGAAAAGCAGTAGATATTGACACTTGATACTGGAATCAATGATTTCTGGTATTTTGCTTAAAATGGACCAGACAATTAATTGGATATCAAAATAACTGCTGATTAAGTTTCTGTTTTTTCACTAAGAGGAATTGTATCCAAGTATCCACAGCTTCCATTCATTTTCTAACCTTTTCTGTTTCATCAAATTAAACTGGGTTTAATATGATTTTCCAGCTGATTTGACTGTGGCACATTTGAGATCTTGTCCTTCGGTGTAAAGACTATGCTTCATAAACGGTAGCTGCCAAAATGTGAATGAATGACTTGTGGTTACAAAGGTTCTGTGTGGTGCACGCTAGTAAACACCGCTCATGGGGTGGGTGGTCCGGTCACAGAGGCATCAGAAGAGGCGTCCTCATTGTTCAGGCCAAGTCGAGAAAGTCTGTGTTTGCCCTCTTCATTAGACATTCTAGTGTCAGCGAAAGAGAATAAATAAAACGCACGGAGGTCAAAGGGAAAGTGCGGTTCGCTTCGGTGTTTAAATGTGTTTTAACAGTTACTTAAGGCTGTGGAGACGCTCTCTGCCACTTCCAAATGATGGAAATGAGCCGGGAAAGTTTGCAGAGCTGGCAGTAATCCAGGTTGAAAGAGAGGAGGTCATTGTCTTCGGTTAGTGTAAGAAAGCAAATCACTTCCTTTAAAGGAGCCGCACAAAGGCTCTTTAAACCTCAGAGGAATCGATACAAATGATTAAATATTGTTTTCTTTATAAATTGTATTTCAGAATAAGGATCTCTTCTACAACTCGAGGTTCCTATTTAATTCTCAAGACATGTATCTAAAGACAATAAAAAAATCAATCCACTCTCAGATTTAAGGCTTTAGACCAACTTGGACTGTTTTACAATCAAGCCTTTCCTTGTCAGAGTGGCTCCTTTCAAAGGACGGGATGGGTCAGTCCGCGGATTAACGCAGTGACGGAGCTTAGTGGAGATGCGCTTTGGTAAAACCAGCAGCGCCGCTCTGTCATCACACCAGAGCCGCTGAAGTTGACGCCTGAGCTTTGCAGGGCAATTATTCCATTTTAACAGCGACACCGCTGCTGTTAAAAGACACACTCTGGGAACAGAGCGCATTCATTTTATACAGGAAAGAGATTATGGACTATTTACATACAGGGGTGGTTCTTGATTTACAACTACTTGAGACAAATACCAAATTAAAACCGTGAATATCAATAAAAGCTTGACAAATCCTTCGTTAAATTCGGAAACAGACCCAGAAGTGGAATTAAATCAGCACACATTCTTCTTCTAGTTCAGCTTGAAGTCAGTCTCCAATTGTAAAGCGACTTGTTACGCTGCTTAAAGCATCTGTCGGTCAGCCATGACTTAAAAGGCGCCAAATAAGATGATTAGGTAACATCAAGGCTTTCCCAGCGGTAATGATTACATTTGGACTTAAGATCCATGCAAGAATTTGTAGGCCAGTAAATCTCCTGAGTTCCCTGCCCCCAGGACTCTTCAAAAGCTTCGTCATTCAAAGAGTTTGGGCGTTTGACAATCGCAGCTTGTACTACTCCACCAATTAATTGGATACGTTGTCGGGATGTTCGTTTCTCTCATCTGCTACTTAGAAAGACAAAGGATCAATGGGGGGCTGTTGACACCTCTGTGCGGGTGGAGTATAAATGAGGAGCCTCCGCGGAGGAACCGCATTCGTTTTCTCACTACACTTGGAGTAACAGCTTGTTTTCTGCAGAGACCATCGAGATCATACCCTTCAACTTTTTAATCAACTGACAAAATGCAGGTGCCGAACAGACCAGTGGGAACTTATGAATACTCCGTGCGTAATTACGCACCAGCAACGCTGTACACACAGTACCAGCGGAGCCAGTGCGCATCATCAACGAAGCCTTCCAGTGGAAAATCCTTCACTATTGATGCTTTGCTCGCCAAACCAGAGAACACATCCAGCGACCGGACGAGTCCTACTCAGTGCGGAGTGAAATATCAACCAGCAACCCCAGTTCTGCCTCTCACCGGACACGTAGGATTACCAATAGCCCCGACACCTTGCGTCTATTCTCCAAACATGGTTCACTCCGCTGTCCACACGCAACCTGGATATTCAGTCTACTGCTGCCCGCCTTTCACCTACCAGTCATCCTGTCATGGAGCATTTTACACACAAGGTAAACAGAGTTATTCATTGATTAGAACTTTAAAAGGAAAGAGAAAGGTCTAAATGGCAAAATTGTCATGGCGGGATGATTAAAAGCACCTTTTTTTCTTTGCAGCTTCAATGTCCAAAGTCAACGCAGGCCTGCATTCGTTCAAAACCAAAGGTGGGAAGTCGAAGCGGATGCGCACCAGTTTCACCAGTGAGCAGCTTTCCCGGCTGGAGAAGGAGTTTGCACGGCAGCAATACATGGTCGGATCAGAGAGGTTCCTTTTGGCCTCGGCTCTACAGCTCACAGAAGCTCAGGTAAACAGAAAGTATACCGAATAATAGTCTGCATTTTGCATTTAAAATGTACCATCACAATGTTCCTAAGGTGCATCTTGTTTTCTTTCTCCAGGTCAAGGTCTGGTTTCAGAATCGACGCATCAAATGGCGCAAACAGAGTCTGGAGCAGCAGCAGGCCAAGCTGGCCAAACTGGGCCTGGCTGCTCCGCCGAAAAGTCCCGGATCTCAAGGCCACGGAGACGAAGGCGACGAGGATGAGGAGCTCTCAGACGTGGACGTTGACGTGTCTGACGACTCCACTGACCACTGTTAAGCCAACACCACTGGATTTATGAAGAAAAGACTTTTGTACATAATGCCGAGAAAAGAGGCCGTTGTCTCCAACCACGACTATTTAATAGATGTATAGTCATATATTTAATTTCCTACATTAATAGCTCTTTGTTGAGTTCACTTCATGTGTTCACCTTTTGTATATTTGAATGAAATACTCAGAAATATATTTTATGACATTAACAGAAACCTTGGCCTGTCCATATCTTTACATTCAGCCACTGGGAGTTAGTAAGATCCTATAAGATGACAAGTAGAGGATGATCAAAATTCTGCATTAATAACTTAAACTCTTAGCACAGTTGCAACAGTTTCTAGGACTCCTCGCAGATTTCTGTGGTTTAGCTAACATAACTGATTGTTTGGCTGATTAGACACATAATTTCGTTAATTTGTACTTTAGTTTCAGAAACTGATTTACAGCTTTAAACTTAACCCTGCCGCCTCCAGTGTCTCCCAGTCAAACCACCATCTTCACCAACACTCTTTTGATCTCTCTTTATACTCTCATCTCAATCTCTGCCCAGTTTGAGGATGATTAAGATGATGAAGACATGGCAGGACATTTCCTCCTGGGTGTGACCTAACCTTAAGTCTGGGACAGACTTGGGTTTCCCTCTGACTTAAGTTAAGCAAATAAATAACCCACTGGGGGATTAGCTGGGATATCTGTAGCCCGGGGTGGTAGGGGTCAGTCTGTCTCAGGGCAGCAGAGCTGGGTTTCACTGTTTAATCTGTTTAAACGGTCAATAGGCCTGTTCCCACTGCTTCTCAATGAACAGGACTCCCTCATGCCCACCCACCGTCGGCAGGTGTCCTGTCTCTGCTCTATTGAAACTCGACGTCTTTCTTGCTGTCTGCTGAAGCCTGCCTGGCAGACATGAAGGATAAAGCGTGAAAGAAAACAGCGTGTAGAAAGGATTGAGATGTAGCAAATGAGTCCATCAGAGCAGCTAATTGGGGGGGTCAACTTGAAAGTCCTGTCCTGTGGACACCAGGGCTGATGGGAACACAGGGCAGTAGCTTCTCTCTCTGCAATCCTAAAATCTTCATGTGGATGAAGTATTCACTGGTGGTAACATGTAATGGCCACTGGTACTGGTGTTTTGAAGTTGCAGTTTTTAAAGGTGGAAATTATTTTAAGCTATTTTATACTGTTGAGTTTAATCTATTTTATAAACTGTTTAGTTTGTAAAATCGTTATCTGCAAAGGCACAGCTGTCAAAATAATGCAATGGTGTAAAAAGTACATCATCTTTTCAAAATAAAGTTGGGGTAGAAGAAGTGACAGAGAGTATAAGTACTTCAGAACTGTGTTCAAATGCAGTACATTGAGTAAATGTTATTATTTCCATTCCACTAAAATAACTGTCACCCTCTTTCAGGCTCCATCAAACCACTTTACTCACAGTAAGATGTAAGAGAAATGTTGATAATGAATCAATGTAAACAAGATGCGACCGTTTGAAGAGTTGGGAGCAATGCTAATATATTTTATAAGAATGTTGTTACCCACTCCAGTACGAGTTTGGGGGCTTGAAGAATCTTGTGCTCAAACATCACTTTACCAGTCGCTCCTTGTACATCTCTAATATCTAGATATGTTTCTTTGTCTTGTGTTAGCTACGCCGTTCCAGTCAGGGCTATGGAATATCAGTTACTTGAGCAAAAGCAGCAACATGACAAATGCTCTGTTAACATGCTATTAAATATATTCTGGGGATGTCAGGGGCCCCAGTAGTTTTATTGTGAGACAAATAACAATGTTGTCCTTCTTACTAGTGCATGGTGACCTCACATAAATCCCAGCACTACTTCAGTATGAGAAATATATATACTTCTTAGATTCTTAGAAGATGTTATGTCTAGTACCGTCCCAACCACCCAGAGCGATGGGTGGATTTAAATGTGATCATCTATCAAGTCAAACAATAAACTCCGTCAGAGGAATAAGTGATAAGAGGAAGGCATAATCTATGCCATCCTCTTCCTATTCCTACTCCTATATTTCCTCTAAATCAAGTGCAAGGGAGAAGACAGCTGGTATCAAAGACAGAAGCTGAATCAACAGTAACAGAGTTGATCTCTTCCTGTCTCTTGTCTATCACCCCCTGCCTGCTCCCTCGTGCTGATTAGGGCTGAAGTGCAGCTGAAGGAGCAGAATTTGTGTAAAAGCCCTTGAGAGCTGTTTCTGATGTGAACCAGAGCTCCCCTCTTCTACTCTCTCCACAAACAGGCCAATGCTGGCTGAGTTTCCTAAGACTCTCTGCAGGGTCTGGACTGAAGCTTCTCATGAAAGGCAACTGTTGCAGCTTCATTTATTTAGCGCTTTATTTGGTTCACTCAGTCTTATCTTGGTTACTTGTTGCCTTGCATTGCACATTGAGAGCCACTGGATCGGAGTCAAAGTCCTTGTGTGTTCATCACACGTGGCCAGTAAAGCTGATTCTGATTCTGATTTATTTGTCTCCTGTGTTTTAGCACTCCAAACACTGAACCTAGACGGCTGGCTGGCTTGCATTTGTTTAAAACAGAAACTGCTGCTAAGTCAAAAAGTGACTGGGAACAACTTTAATAACAATTAATTTTTTAACAAAGTCATTTTCAAGTAGAACTGTGTGGTGTTGGCCTCTGGCATGTGCAGACTTCCAGCTGTTATTTGTCTTCTGTGATTTCTAACTTGTAACTTTGGGGTTAGGAGTGTTGGTCAGGAAAACCCAGCCACTACAAACATCATATTGGACTCCAGGAAGAAGACCTGGGCATCTTTCAGAATTTCAAGAAATTTCAGACTAAAATGAAAATAATCTTGCAACCATTAGATTTTCACATCGTCTCTAAACTGTGCAGCAATTTTTGATGAAGGATTTCTCAGAGAAAGACCTGATCTGAAGAGAGAACAGATATTATAATGAATGATAAATCACTTGACATTAGTCATACGGGCAAGTTAACCAGATGTCTGGCACCAACACTGTCAAACGTTTGTTGTCCACCACAGACATAAAACCGTTTTCTTCCTCCTCCTTAGATTTAGATGCCGTTGGTCACATGACTCCGCACAGAAGTGTCCTTGGTTTTCACCGTCTGAGAAGGTGTGAAAGTTCTCATGGAGAGCAACAACCGCACCTCATTTTGCCAACGCGCGTTTTAGGGTAGTCCATCGTAAAAGTAAAGATCCTCCTTTGCATTTTATTTGCAGAGACCAGGGCCCCTTTTCTCCATCTAATAGTCATTAACTGTCATTACAAGCGTTTGAAGTAGAAGTAGAAGCTGCCCTTTGTCTCGCCGTGAAAGGGCCGCGTTTGAGATGCAATGACTTCTGACACGGTCAGTGACAACAGGAGCTCGCCTGAAGAGAGGCGCCCATCTTTGTCTTTAAAGAACACTCAGGAAATAGCAGTCCCTGTTCACAGCGTGTTCAGCGCACGAAGCGGGTTAAAAGCCAGATAGAAAGCATTTCAGGAGAGGTGGTAGAGGATCTGATTCAGGAATCGGCTGATTCCTAAAGGCCAGATTCACCAAACGTGCGTCTTTTACGCACCTTACAACCCATTAATAGAAAGACAACACGAAAATATTGGATCATATCTCCCAGTTTATCACTAGAAACTTTTAATAGTGGTCTTCAAGCACGTTTGATGTTTAAGATGACATGTTCTCATATAGCAAAGCCACAATTCCACCACACGTCTCCGGCTTCATCCTCATGCATTGTTTTGTATATGTATTGTAAACTGTGCGCTCTGCACCTATATCGCCATGAAATGGATAAAGTCGACTTGCGGACATGCACACCACCGGGTAAACCCTGGGATGGATATATTTCCTGACGATAAACACACGTCTGTTTTCTCTTGGGCCTGCTAAAAGTGGGGTGTTTGTTTATGCTAACGAGGGGAGCCGGTGGAGAAGCGGAGTCTGTACAGGTGGCTAAACGACCCCACTTCTCATGCAGGTGGCACAAACGCAGCGATGTGCTACTTTTCCCATCTCGTTATAATGGGGTGAAATTTTCCAAGTATTTAACTAGGATAGATTAGCTGAACACACAACACTAATGCGAAACAAAACTGCCAGTTAGTTTATTAATGGATGCAGGAGGTGAAAATGAAACCAGGTGCTTCAGCTGCAGTCAGCGAGTCTAAAGCCACAACATCGTGGAGACAAAGTGGTAAGAAAAAGAATGCACATCTCACAAGCCGTGACAGAAATACAACAGGCATTTAACATCAGTGTTTGCTGAGCCTGGTCAGAAAGGTGCGTGGATCCAAATTAACAATGGGATTTATTTTATCCTGGTTTTGCTGGTGCATGTACCAAAACAAAAGATTTTTAAAAAGGCACAATTAAAACAGAATGAGATGTAGTTTGGCATTTGATAAATGAAAGTGCATCTGTCTGCTTATGGAAGCTCAACAGCGGTACCTGAATTACAATAGAGTTATAAACATGGATAAGACTCTACTGTCTAAAGGAAATGCAGCTGATAGGAGTTTGTCTGTTTCAACAGCAATACATTAGTGTAAGGGCCATTTATCCAAATAAAAGCCAAAACTTGTTCTGCCATAATCCACAACCAAACCTTGAATTTGATGTTTACACAGAGTCTGTTTTGTTTTTTAGCATTTACGGTCGTGTTGGACTCCACACATGTGCTCTCCTTGACTTCACGTGTTCAGTCCTTGTGACAAATAACGCAATGTACTAACCTCCCAGTTTATTATTTTTAGTCTTTTACCTGAGGTCTGTGAAGCAATATTAACTGCTACTTCATACTCAGGCTCTGACCCTGCAGCGCTCCCTGAACTTTCAGGACCTGGAGTCACACAGTAACCAGGGAGGTCAAAGGTTTCCAGTCACATCTGCAGGAATCATAAAATAAACAGACCCTGCCTAGGTTCAGCCACTAGGTGGCAGCATTGGCATAGAAAACAATACCTAGATAGCACAGAGCTTTGTAGCACTTGTGATTTCTCTTTAAGGGATCAATAGGACTAGAACAAAACAATTTGGGAACATTTCTGGGATGTTACAATAATCTAAAGAGTTATCATGTCATGTCTACCTTAGAAGGTAAAGCTCATATTTAACTTTATGAGCAGAAAATTGTTAAAACCATTCATGATGTAAAATCACAAACAAAACAATCAGCCTAATAAAGCTTATACAAATATTATAGTTCAGTAAAACGTACAAAAACCACAATTTTCTTATTCATCAATCACCAGGACACCACAGAAGGTCACTAGAGGGCAGCGCTGATCTTAAACTGGTGTCTTTGTGGGATCCATTTCCCGAGCCTCCTGAAGCAGAGGACTAGGCGTCTTTGTGGGGACAGAGCAAAGTTTAATCATGTTTGATCAAACTCTAAAAACAATAACCAACTCGGAGCAGTCATTTGTAACACTTCTTGTGTTTTTGCAAAAGAAACCAACTTTTTGCACCTTAGAAACAGAATGACATGTTTTAATTGTACTGTTTTTAATATAGGCTATGTGCACCTATATATATATATATATA